TTAATAATACTTAGCCCTAATCACAAAGATAAAACGGAGGACCAAATCCAATGACCATTATATTTAGAAATTTGACCATCCCAGGCCCTAGCGTATCCGGTCTTTATAGTTCAGGCAGACTACCAACTATTGAGCTCAATTGAAATTCGGCCTTTCGCATTGGTCGTAGGGTCTACTGCTATTTATGATCTAATTTTTTAAACTAACAGTCGAAGGTTAAAAATTAACAATCACCCTTAATACAGTGGCATTATCAACAGGACCAAGGATAAAGTTAGCCGCCATCTAATTAGCCACAGCATTTAGGAGAAAGGAGAATTACTCTGGAATTGAAGGCTATAGCAAACAGTGTGTTGTGGTGAATGTATCTGGTGGACCAAGGCTTCTGTTATATATAGCTAGGCATGCAGTGCCAATGTGGAATCAATTCATTTTGTTGTCTACTTGTATTTCCTTTTATTTAGGGTGGACATTTGGATGGGTAACTGAATGGTTACTCGGAAATCAAACAAAAAAAAAATGAATTTGGTTCGATTTTAATGATTTTTGGTTTTTACTGTTTTGATTTTGATATTAATAGAATAAATTTTGGTTAGGTTTCGGTTGAATTTTTCAAAAATTGAAAATAAAAAATAAGTCTTTTGAAAACCAAAATTAAGATAAATATAACAAAATAAGAAATAAAATATAATTTATTATTTTTTTTTTTGATAAGAAATGGAGAAATATATTGAATAATAAGAAAAGTACAGTAAAAACTCCATCATATGACATATAGCCTAACGCATAAGAGCTTAAACAGCAAAATCAGCAGCAGAAGCATAACCTACAGCCTAGTAACAGATTTAAACTATGCCCATGACGAATATAGACAATTAAGTAAAGAGAGCCATCTACAACTAGAGATTGCAAAGTGCAATCGCTGTATGGGCTAAATAGGGCTACTAATGTAGAAAGGAAGGTCCCTATGAGCATCGAAAGCTACTGAACGTCCTCACCTAATTAACCAGCTTCTCGGGGAGAGAACGGATTTTGGCAACAAACAGTCCCCAAACTATAGGTTGCCATCCAAGCTATTTCTTAAAAAATAATAATCAAGAGGAGGGGTGTGGTCCTCCTCTGTGCAGTCGCCAGGTACCCAATTCGTCTGCAAGTGCATCCAAACATATGCCCATCTGTTCCAATCCTCAACAATCCCTGGCTATCATAGGTTAATAAGGGATCAAGAGCCCCTTTACCAGCTTGAGGGCCATGCTGCCCCTGCAAAACACCACCATCTTCCTTCACAGCATGGAAATTTGACCTTCCACACCAAAACCCACTTATATCCCCCCACGCAGAACCTAACCAGAAGAAGAGAATGCCCTTCTCCTTTTCCGATTTGCTCAAGGTAGCATTGATGGCACCTAAACGCGACCAAAGCAGAGGGGAATCCGTCTCTGGTTGGCCGGAAAACTCTGTTAAAAGCCATTGACATCCACCCGGATCTACTATTACGACCTCAATGTGAGATGGTTTCTCTCGGCACAATTGCTCCCAGAACAACAAAGCCCACCCTAGATCTGATAATGGCGAGAAAGAGGAAAATTGAACGGCAAACTCATCCTGCCAAAACAGATTCAAGCCACCCCTTCTCTCGGCACAATTGCATGCAAAACAGTGAGCCAACCCTAGATCTAATCGGAACAAAATCATCTCCATCGTCGATTGCTGTGATGCAGGGAGCAAAACAGAGTTCGGCATTTGTTGGAGGCACGATTTAGTTGACTCAAAAAACAAATAAACCTCTCCGAGATTGCGATGAGTCCAGGCCAACATAAGCGGATGAGCCATGGGAAGAAACGAAAAGAGAAAACCGAGGGAGAAGCCCTGCACAAAAACAGGGAGAAACGCCTAGGGGAGGGACTCGACCGTCGCAAGGAAACCCTAGCGGCGGCGAGAGAGAAAACTTAATCGGCTCGTGGCAAATATTAAAATATAATTTATTATTAAAAAAATAATTGATTAATATTTATTTAGTAAAAATCAAAATCAAACCTATTTTATTAGTAATCAAACCAACCAATTCGTGGAAACTTTGATTCGATTTCAATTTTCAAAATTTAAAGAAAATTTTTTTTAATTATTTTGAAACTAATTTCAATTTTAACCAAAACTGATTTTTACCCACCCCCAATTGTATTTCATGAGTGATTTTTTTTCTTTTTTCATTTTTTAATTTTTTGCCTTAGAAGCATTATGAAGTACTTTCAATACGGTAGGTACTGTATGTATTCTTCTACCAACTCTCCATGGGAATTGAGGATCACAAAAAGAGCTTTATTACATCTATTTTCGTCGATAACAGCTAATTCTGGGGCATGAGGAAAGACGAGAAAGACTTCGAATGGTACATAAATTAAAAGTTACCCAAATTAAAGTTGCTTAGAACTGTATAATTTTGAATTTAAAATAAAAATTAAAAAAATTCAATATTTACAAAAAAAAAGAAAAAGAAAAAAAAAAGGGCATTTGAGTTTGACTACAGGTTTCAGTGTCATCCGTTACCAGTGTTGCAACTGCTGGTGCTTATTTTGATAAGCTGCAGGATCAACGACTGGATCAATGGCTTAAACTACTTCTTCTTCAACGCTTCTCCTGCGGTTGCCTTAGCTGCAGGGTCAATTCGGTTAGCTCATCACACTGGATCTCTATTCCGATCTTTAGCTACCATCCCTGACGTTGGTTGATTTGCCACATCTAGTAGGGGTCTGAAAGGTATGCTGCTGGCTTGGTGGATATCGGCCGAATTTATTCGATTCAAAGTCTTAGACAGTTAGACTTCTATCTAGAAAGTATGATAATTGACACCTTAAATTAGTTTCATTCAATTTAATAATTAATCAATATCCAAAATGCAAGTATTTCTATCTATTGTGGACATGACCGTAGGAGACTGGCGTTCATGACAAATACCGCAACTGGTCATGGCAACAAGTGAACTGCGTCCCGATAATCCTTTGTATTTGTAGACTGGCTTACCATTAAAGCTGAGACATAAAAAACAGTGTCACAAATCTTCGGCATGAACTTGCTCCTCACATCCTCGTAAATAGTTGCAGAACAGTTATTGGCATTGTTCTAGACAACATAAGCTCAAAATCAAATGGCCCTAGGCTTAACAACTCTAGACATGCCTTCCTCTGACAGGTCATGAATCCCGGACGACTTGTATGCAATTTTCTATTTCTTTTGTTGTTTCTAGTCCAAGTTGTATGACAAAATGTCCATAGACAAGGTCCAGATTCATATATAATATAAATATGAAAATAATATGGTTACAAGATTACATAATTTTATAAATTTATAATATAATATGTTATATAATTAATTTTTTTATATTTAGGAGTTTATTTATTTAAAAT